GAGACGGGGTTTCACCATGTTGACCAGGATGGTCTCGATCTCTTGACCTCGTGATCCACCCGCCTCGGCCTCCCAAAGTGCTGGGATTACAGGCTTGAGCCACCGCGCCCGGCTGGTCTGTAGTTTTCTTTTTTGATTGTGTCCTTTCCTGGTTTTGGTATTAGGGTAATGCCAGCTTCATAGAATGAGTTAGGGAGGGCTCCTTCTTTCTCTGTCTTGTGGAATAGTGTCAAAAGGATTGGTACCAGTTCTTTGAATATCTGGTAGAATTCTGCTGTGAATCTGTCTGGTCCTGGACTTAATTTTGTTGGTAATTTTAAAATTACTGTTTCAATCTTACTGCTTCTTATTGATCTGTTCAGGGTATCTAATTCTTCCTGATTTAAGCTAGGAGGGTTGTATTTTTCCAGGAATTTATCCATTTCTTCTAGGTTTTCTAGTTTATGTGCATAAAGGTGTTCATGGCTGCCTTGAATGAGCTTTTGTATTTCAGTGGTGTCGGTTGTAATATTTCCTGTTTTTTTTCTTAGTAAGGTTATTTGGATTTTCTCTCTTCTTTACTTGGTTAATCTTGCTAATGGTCAATCAGTTTTATTTTATGTTATGTGACAGGGTCTGTCACCCAGGCTGGAGTGCAGTGGTGTAATCACAGCTCACTGCAGCCTTGATCCCCCAGACCCAAGTCATCTTCCCACCTCAGTCTCTGGAGTAGCTGGGACTACACACACATGGCCAATTTTTATACTTTTGTCAAGATGGGGTTTCACCAGGTTGCTGAGGCTGGTCTCAAACTCCTGGGCTCAAGTTATCCTGCTGCCTCAGCCTCCCAAAATGCTGGAATTACAGGCATGAGCCACTCCCTCTGACCCATTCGGGACCATTTTACAGGCTGCCTGCCACAGGTTCTGGGCAGATAATACAATAAAGACCACTATACTGAGCAGTGACAAGTTGAGTCTAAAAAGTAGTCATTATTATTCAAACTAGACAAACAATACAAACAAGCTGAACCTGTAGAAAAATCTTGAGATTATAATGATACCACAATGAGGATGTTCACATCAAATGTGCTAACAGATGGCAGTAATGCATACAGATTTCAAAAATGTGTTTTTATTAAATATAAAACAAATACGAAATGATCTTTATAAAATATATGTTAGTTCTAAAGAAGAGTAGTAACATTAACATATGTGACTGTGCTATCCAAGGTAAGAGAAAGGATAACTAATGCTTTCAAAGGCTCCAACGCCACCCTCTTCACTCCTCCTCTAGAGGTCATCACCATTATGCTGAATTTTGTGATAATTATTCACTTGCTCTTCATTGTTTTACCAGAGATGTCTATATTCCTACACAAGACCCTATTGGTTTTCCCTGCCTTTGACTTTGTATCAATGGAATCACAGTGTATATATTTCTCTGTGATTTTCTTCTTCCTCTAGAGATTATGTTTCTGAGATTTATCTACTTGATGCCTTCATAATGATGTTTTTCAATTCCAACCAAACTTCACTAAGGTCATATATTGCCCTAACACAACAACACACTCAGTTTTATCATTTGAGCCACCAGCTTTCTCTTGTACAACATGGTATGGCTATACTGTTATGCAGCTCATCTGTATATGGATGGATGGACATTTGTGTTAGTTCCATCTTTTTGCTACATGAATAGTTCTGCTGTGAACATCACTTTACTTGTTTCCTAGTACAGTTGTGCAAAACTTTCTTCAGGGGATACACCTGGGCAAGGAATGTTGGATCAAAGGCATATCAACTTTAAGAGACAATGCCAAATTTTTTTCCAAGGAAGTTATAGTGATTTACACTCCTATCAGCAGTTGTTCCAAATCCTATCCAATATTTGATAATGTCTTTTTTTATTTTTGCCAATCTGGAAGGCATAAAATGGAATTTCATTGAGGTTTTGATTTGCATTTCACATGAGTTGTAATATGTTTTACTGCATTGCCAAATGCTATCCAGTGATCGAATGAGACTCTGAACTCTGTACTAAAGTTTTTGCCATCATCCATGCAACTATTTACAAATTGTTGTTACTTTAACATCACATCTGTGCAAATTATTGGGTTAAAAGTCAAATATGTATCTGTGAAGCACAATAAAGCCAAAAAAATGTCAAATGCAAATAATCAAGACTTGTGATAATGTCATGGCTGTGTTGCAAGGTGGCATAAGACACAGACAGTCAAAGGTGAATAAAGCAAATAATTTTCATGGACATTGTACTCTTTATATATTTATCTTGGCATGTAATATGAAGGTGTTGTAAGGGAATTAGGGGGAACATGAGTCACGTATGTCTAGTTTATATATAATTTTTACTGCCCTAAGAGATGTCCAAGGAAAAAAGGGGTGGACTATTGGGAGTTGGACACATTTTGTTCCTGATGCAGAGCTCAGCAGATGGTGGTGCTTTCAACATCGTAAATAAAATTTGCATACTAGGGGATTAACATCGAGGTGGTAATAAAGGAATTACGGCCTCTAGATGTTACTCTGTATTGCCAATTTTGGATTGCAAACACACTGAAGCTGGGATTGATTACAATGTTAAACTTAGTGAGATCTTGATTGGACTATAACCAAGAAACACCTTCCAGGACAAGGCAAAGGTCCTAGTGCAAAACCAGCTGCAAATGGGCAAGAAATCAGGTGATCAGTGTCAGGTGGTGGCCGTCTGCTCTTGGAGGCAGAGCTGAAGAGACAGAACCTGCAATTTGGGATCACTACGGGATCAGGCTGGATCTCTGATGTCTGAGTTGGCCTCGTTTGAGATGGAGTTGAGCATTGACAGAACGAACAGTGGGAGCTGGGTGTTCCTAATGTTGCACTTTCAGCTTCTCTGTCAAAGTCAGCACAGACGATAGATCAATATGACGTTTACTTATGAACTGTTGGGACATAAATTTACATTTTTCAAAGGAAATTTAGCACATCAGTAACTTAAATATGTTCCTATATTTGACCATGTAATTCTACCCGTAAGTACCTGCCCAATCAGTTGAGTTATTGAAGATGAAAGTAAAATCATTCAAATTATCTCAAGAAACATTAAAAGGGTATACAGACACCGAAACCCAGGAAAGTCTAAGCATCCCAGCCTTAAGTGCACACACCTGGGAGCAGCTCTGGGTTTGGGCACCCCTGGGACGACAGGAGTTTCTCAGTGTGCTACCTCTATTCACAGGACTTTTTCCCCCTCCTTTCCGCTCTAGTTTTTTTGTACCATAGGACTCTGCCTTATTTCGTTTCTACAGCCCAGTCATCTTCCGGCAACACCACCTCTTGACTCTCAGCATTTCCCTGTTTGAACTCTTGATTGGTTAGATTATCTCGCCAAATGATGCAAGTAAGAGGTCTTTGGCCAGTCTATGGATTGGCTGCCCTGGGATCAGATGACCTCCCTGGTCCAATCAGCTGAGGCTAAGGCTAAGGGGGGACAGTTCACCCATAGCTGCCTAATGGGACGGCTTCCCTTGCAAAAGACAAACGGTGTGAACGGACAAATATTGCGATGGACATTTCTAGAAAAGGACTTAAAAAAGAGTCCGAGATAGGGACTAAGACGTGCATGAAAGTGCTCTTGTAGGGCGCGCGCCTTATCCATCCACGGAGTACAATAATGACTTGGTGCTTAGGTGTGCGACAATGAGCAGCGAGGGCGCTGACTTTGAAGGCTATTGGAAAACACGAAGAAATGTTAACAAAATAATATGCCATGAAAAAGGCCTATAAAACCGCATACATTGAATGATCAGAATTTTCAAAGAAAAAATGGCGTATTTTAAAATTTGGACGGGAAAGCTAACAGGCTAGTGGTGTGAAAACTTGTGGTATAAAAGTGCTTCTTTATTTGCTCATACAGCTTTCAAATGCTGCTTCATGAACAGATAGCATTTTTATAATCAGGGCAGAGACTCAGTATTAAAGTGCACGTCCCATCGTTGCAACCGTGCCCTCAGGCACCCGGCGCTCTCGCCCCGCGCCCGGCTCTCAGGCTCGGAGCCCGGCCACCCCACCTCTTCCTGGTGCCGGCCCCGCCCCTCCGCCTCTCCCAGCGCTTCTTCTCTAGTTAACGAAAGGCGCTTTCCGCGAAGACCCGGGTTTTTACAGCACTTCGCGTCTTCTAACCCCGAACAGTGCGCTTTTATTCGCAGGGCCAGCAAGGAGAGCCCCGCCCCGCCCGCCACCTCCGCGGCCCACGGACTCTGCCTGGTCCGGCCTCCCCCATGATGGCGCCGCTGCGCTTCTCTGCCAATCTGTCCTGGCTATTCCCCGAGCTCCCTGGCCTCCTCGCGCGGCTGCGGGCCGCCGGCAGCGCGGGCTTCGAGGCCGCCGAGGTGGCCTGGCCTTACTCGGAGCCGCCCGAGGCTCTGGCGCGGGCGGCGCGGGAAGCCGGGCTGCGGCTGGTGCTGATTAACACGCCCCCGGGTGCGCGGCAGGCCGGGAGGGCTGGAGGGGCTGGGGCGTGGGTGCCTGAGCTGGGGGCTGAGGCCCGTTCTCTCTGCAGGAGATCAAGAGAAGGGGGAAATGGGGCTGGGGGCCGTCCCCGGGAGACAGGCGGCCTTCCGAGAGGGGCTGGAGCAGGCCGTGCGGTACGCCAAGGCCCTGGGCTGTCCCAGGTACCCCCCCCACCCCCCACCCCTCTGTGACCCATGACCCTGCCACAGGTTAAGGGCGTCAAGGACGCCAGGTATGAAAGGTTCAGAAGTCTGAGTCCACTGGCCTGTCTCAGCCCCTGCAGTCCTGGCCCTTTGTAAACTGCCTTTTATATTTTATCTGTCCTGTGCCAGTCTGTTTGCCACTCTTTCATGCTCACCCCATGCCGGGATCCCATGCTGGGAGCTCAGTCTGCCTAGGGAGATAGGAGAGTAAATATATGCAGTGATCCATTTGGGGACAGACCTATTCAAGGAAGCTGTGGGAGCAGGGTAGGCACCTAACCCTGTCTGGATCAGAGAAAGCTGCTTACAGGTAGTGATGCTTGAACCGTCTTGAAGGAGTGGGCATTGCTTGATGAGCAGGAGGTAGAGCATTCCTGGCAAGGGTGCTGTGGCAAGAGGAGGCCTGGTGTGTTCAGCAGCGTTCCTGAGGCTGGACGGGTAGCCTGTTGGGGTGGGGAGGCCTGGAATGTCGGGTTGGAGCTGAATGTGGCTAAGATCCGGGTGACAGGAGGATATGGACGGCTCAAAGTGGGGCTGATCAAATGCCAAGTCCTGCAGAGGCCAAACAGGCTCAGAAGGAACTGGCAGTGGGATCACTACTGGTGAATGGTAGGGGAGAAAACAGATGGGAAGAGGCTAAGAAGCAGATGCGAGGAGAGGAAGTTGAAACAGCAGCATGGAATACCTGAGAAGGGCAAGGGTCAGGATAATTTTTAAAGGTGAGACTTCTGCAGGTTATATGTTGAGAAGGACCGAGGGAAGGAGAGGTGGAAATTACTGGAGGTGGGGGGGTGAGTGGACACTGAGGTGTCTGGGAGAGGGCTTGCCCCTCGGCCGTCACGGAAGTGTCTCTGAAGGTGCTCGGATGCCTGGGCATCGTGGCCCAGGTGCCATGGACTGGAGACCTGGGGAGACAGGCGAGGCCAGCACAGTCAGGGAATCCTGGGAGACGTGTAGAGAGAGCCAAGGGAGGCAAGGCCTCCAGTCTATCTTCACAGGATCCACCTGATGGCTGGCCGAGTACCCCAGGGGGCTGACCCAGCAGCAATCAAGGCTGAGATGGAGACCGTTTTTCTAGAGAATCTGAGGCATGCAGCTGGGGTTTTGGCTCAGGTGAGAAAAGTGGAAACACAGACGCACGTACTCACATATGTAAGTGGAGGGGGTGCACAGTGGGGACAGCATGGGAGGCACAAGGCTGGGTGCCCGCCTAGGTCAGGACAGGTGACAGCCTTGACCAGGGACTGATGGGGGCAAACTTGGGAAGGAGCTCTATTCACAGCACCCGACATGCTGCTAGGAGGACCTCGTGGGACTGCTGGAGCCCATCAACACCCGAATCACTGACCCCCAGTACTTCCTGGACACGCCCCAGCAGGGTAGGACCCCAGGTCTGTGGATCCTTCTGTCCCTTTGGATACCTGTGCTTTCCTTAAGGCTCATGGCCCACTCCCTGGCTTCTCTTCCAGCAGCAGCCATCTTACAGAAGGTGGGAAGACCCAACCTCCAATTACAAATGGTAAGTGGAAGAAAGGGGGTACTTTGCAGAGAGCCCATGTTCTCTCAATCTTGGAAGAAGGGCGGAACCTATGGGGTCTTGGACTGTAGAATCCTCTTCCCCAGGACATATTCCACTGGCAGATCATGGATGGGAACCTGACAGGAAACATCCGGGAGTTCTTGCCTATTGTTGGTGAGAGGAGCTTTCTTTGCTCTTTCACCCTTTCAATCCCCACGTCTGTCCTTCAGGCCCTGGCAGGAGCCCAGACTCCATATCTGTCCTCATCTGTCCCCAGGGCACGTGCAGGTGGCACAGGTCCCAGGCCGAGGGGAGCCCAGCAGCCCTGGAGAGCTGAACTTCCCCTATCTGTTTCAACTGCTGGAAGATGAAGGCTACAAAGGTTTTGTGGGCTGCGAGTATCGGCCTCAAGGTGAGGCATGGCCCTGGGGAAGGGAGCTCTGGAAAAACTTGGACAGGAGCTGTTTTCTCCATATGGGCTGAGATGCCAAGGTCTCTCTCTCCCTGCAGGAGATACAGTAGAGGGCCTGAGCTGGCTACGGTCATACTGGGACAGGCGAGGCCACCCAGAGGCTGGCCAGTGAGGGCCTGCACACCACCCACGTGCCTCCAGACAGCAAGTGAAATCCTGTCTCCTTCTCTGCATTAAAGATGACCTGCTGAACACTGTCATATATCTCTGTTATGGGGTGGGGGGACACACAGTGTCTAACACTTCAGTTTCTCTGTTGCTTCCCTCCCACTGAGAAGCCAATGCCAGGGCTGCTGTGGAGATGGGAGAGCTTCTGAGCCCACCTCCTCATTAAAGGATGAGAAACCCAGGGTCCAAGAGCAAAGAGACTTGACAGTGGTCCCAGGTGCTTCAAAGGAAGAGCTGGGATTAGAACCCAGGTGTTATCTCGATGGGAATGTCCAGCAGTGATGTCCAAGTGGGAAATGAAGACCTGAGGGCTCAAGGGGCGCAGGTGGCAGACAGTGGTCAAAGGCTGGTGGCAGGATTCAGGCAATGGCGCTCTAGGGGGTGAGTGCTTGCAATCCCGTGTGAACCCCCGGGACTTAGCAGGTGGGCAGAAAGGAGTGCCCCAGAAGGGCCCAAAAGGTATAACGAGATGGAGTCCTGGATTGGTCAGTGGCTGTGGGTGTTTGGGGAGGGCAGTTCCTGCTGCCAGGCTGGGGCAGCAGACCCCCAAGACATAGTCCCAAAGCCTTTGGTGTCACTCAGTGTCTGGCCTGTCCTGGGGCCCAGAAGGGCTGGTCGGTCCTGCCTCTGGTGGGCAACATTGTAGACCCATGATTTGAGGAATAGTGACATTCAGTGGTCCAGTCCACTCCCTCAGAGGAGGCGGGTCCAGAGGGTGAAACAGGCTGTGTTGATGACAGACTCCAGGTGGTGATAGGTGGAGACCAGCTGGGCAGGGGGGCTCTCGCTGTCCTGGGGCTGTACTGGGAAGGGCTCTCGGAAAACCACTGTCAGAGACTGTGGGGAACACCGTGGGGGTGCGCTGGTGAGAGGAGGGCATGGGTGGGGACAGGAAGCAGGGCTCAGAAAGGGTGGGCACCCCAACCTCAACAGGCTCTGAGATGGAGCATTTGGGGTATGGCCTCCCACTAGGCTGAAACAAAGCCCCCCACTTGTTCTCACCGTCTTTCCTAAGTGGGAGTCCAGAAACACTAGCACAAAGCAGTCAGTGAACTTCTGATTCAGCACAACCTGCAGCAAAAGATGAGGAGGGGACTGAGGTCTGTCTCCCCATGAGGTGGCAAAGACCCTACCACAGAGGATCCTGAGGTGAAGGGAGGATGCAGAGAGCCCTACTTCCATCTCTACCCCTCATCCCGCCTGCATCCCAAGGTCACATAGGACTGTATCTCCAAATTAAGCCTCAATCCTCATCCTTGCTGGCTTGCCGGTCAGCCTGTCTGAGCTGCGTCAGAATGAGGGGTAATACTGTAGTTGATCCTGGAGGCCCCAAACAGAGCCTGGCACACTGAAGCCAATCAACGGAGACCACTGTACCCCTGGCACAACCTCCTTGCCTCCTGTCCTGGGTCTCCTCTCTGACCAACCCTGGATTGTCCTGTCCCCTTATGTCTGTCAGCTCCCGAATGCTGCACTTGGTGACCCATACCAGGATGATTTGCTCTCCCAAGGCTTCAGTTACTGCTTATTCAGAGCTGCTGCCTAGGACTCTCCTGAGCTGCAATCCTGATGCCCACAGGCCTTGCAGACCGCGAAGGGCCTTAAAGACTTCAGACTCAGCTTGCTCCAAGCTGGACTCGTTACCCTTCCCTGAAACTAACTCCTGCTCCAGCCTTCCCACTGCCCACAGGTGCACCCCCCTTTATTCACAACCTAGTGCAGCCTCATCCTAACTGACATAGGCTTCTCTGGGAGACCCTTCCTGCACCCTGAAATGAATCCTCTGCACAAGCACTGTGCTAGGACCACTCACCTGGCTCCAACTCCTACTTTTTCACTTGAAATCTTCTCTCGAATGCCTCCTTTCTTGAACCTCAGCTCTGGCCGGGTCCATCTCTGCAGGCTCCTTAATGCCCCATGCTAGGGCCCACCACCATAGCTCTCTTCTCTCTACCTGTCCTTTACAGCAGTGCTTTCACACTTCAATGTGCACACAAATCACCTGGGAGACTGCTAGCCTGCAGATCCCGAGTCAGCAGTCTGGAGTGTGGCTGGAGAGCCTGCATTTCAGCAAGCTCCCAGGTGCTGTGGCTGCTGGTCTGTGGACCACACTTTGAGTAACAAGGCTTCAAAGCCCAAGGGGTCCTTTCTGGGGCTCCAGTCTCTGACACCAACCACTGATGAAGTTCTGAGAGCTCCTTGGGTTGTCAGTTCCAGAGCCTGGCCCTTGGGATCTCAAGCCAAGGTTTGTGTTCTTGGTGAGTCCCTGAGGGCAGAGCTGCTGAGAATCACATGCTGTGGTTCGATGCCCGGTACTCGAAGGGTTTTACATTTCTGTGTAGTCCTGTTCTGTCTAGGCCTCCCTCCAAAGCACAGCTTGTTTGCTCAGGCTGAGGGGTGCATCTGTCTGGTGAGGGTCTCTGCTCTGTTTCCCTTTTCAGAGGAAGGTCAAGGGGACTTACCAGGTACTGAGTTCCCAAGTCTGGGCTTTGGAAATGGCGACAGCTCTGGGGGAAGCGGCTTAAAAGAACTTTGATCAGGCTCTGGTACCAGGAGACCGTCATGGATAGGAAACAGTCCTGGGGGAGGAGCCACAGGCCTGAGTCTGCTGTTCCACTCACCTCAGATTCTTGTGCCCCCCCTGGGTGCTAGTGGAATTCCTGGCATCTATTCCAGCTCTTTCTGGAGTCCACAGTCCCTTACCAGCTGGGGGTCGATGTCCCCAATGGATTTAGCGTGGACTGCTTCTAGGAGCTCCTCCAGCTCTGCCAGGGCCAGGCGCCCCCCTAGCCGGAGTCGATCAGGGCCTGGTGGCTCCAGCAAGAAGAGGCGCTTCCAGAGGGTGTCCCGACGGCAGTGCCCTCCAGCCAGCCGTACCAGCTGAGCTAGCCGTGCCCGTGCCATGCCCACCTCTGCAGCCAGTGGTGGGAACAAAGGAGCCGGTCCAGGGGCTAGAACAAGCCCTGAGGCCTCCCCAGGACTGCCAGCTGAACTCCCAGGAGCCTCTGGCTCAGGGGGCAGTCTGGGTGGCTTCCGGAAGCGGCGCATGTCAATAGTGAGCCTGGGGAAGAGCTCTCGCTGGCTGGTGAGCACCACGAAGAACTGTAGCCTGGGGTAGGGAGCAGGGCAGGAGAGTGGTGGTCACAGCAAGAGACACATAGGGCAGGGTGGGAGGCACGCTGGGAAATGGGCATGTTCGAGATAGGGGAACTGCTGACCGCAGAATGTGCCGCTCGGCCTCTCCTTGCTCCTCAAAGGGTGCAGCACAGTGACAGACAAGCAGAGACACATCAAAGTCATCCTGGTGGCGAAGTCCCTCAGAGTCCAGGTAGGAGCCAGAGCTGTGCAGGACAGGTTGGGGAGATGTCAACTGGGGTTCTCACCCCTTCTGCCCAAAAAATCGGGTCTCTCTACTGCAAGTGTGTCCCAACCGCAGATCCTGCAGCATGCGTGCTGGGTGCCCCTTCCAGCCTTACCTGTGCCAGGCCGACACCAGGGCATACTCATTGTGTTCTGGGCCCCCTGGCCGGGCCATTCGCAGTGGCTTCATGTGGTAAGAGCTGGCATGGTCAGCCACGTAGTTATACAGCTGGTGGGCAGCAATGAGTGGTGTGGGGAGCTCCAGTGTCCCTGAGGGGTAAGTAATAGACAGTGGACACTAAGCCTAGAACGGACATACTGATATGGTGGGGCACAGGGATGGGAGTCTCTAAGGCTCTGACTGGCAGGCAGAATGAGTCTGCTTTCCTTGGGAGCTCCTGCATTCCTGTGGAACACTAAGACGGGACAAAAGGGACTCAGAACAGAAAGCAGGGACAGGTAACATGGGGTCCCAACTCTGGTGAGAGACAGACACAGGATAGAAACATGGGAACATGGTATGTGTGGCATGAGGTGATTAACAACATGGGCCCATGTGTCCAGGGAGGTAGTCCCACCAGCCCTGACCTGGAGCCACCTGTGGCCTGTTCTTTTTTGGGTTCACTGGCTTGCCCTTGGGCACTCACCTTGGTAAATGTGATTGCGGCCAAAGTGGGGTCCATCAGGGTGGTGGGCCAGGAAGTGTCGCAGGAAGGTGGTGAGATGGTAGCCGTGCCGCAGCACTAGGTGGGCACCCAGCACATGCTGGTGCACAAGGCGCAGGTGGAAGTCATAGCTGAACGAGTGCACATGCATCAGGTCCCGCACCTTGTCACACTCCTCTGTGAACAGCATGGATAGCTGGGGAGGCAGCAGCAGGAGACAGAGTTAGGGTGTGGCTGCACTGGCTGCTCAATACACATTTTCCTTCTTCCCTAGGAAGAAACGAAAGATTTCCCCTGCTGCTATGGCCCAGTGGAACGCCCTCTGCCAGAATGGTTTCTGTGGGAAGGCCTCCCCATTCTAGCCTCCATTTTTCAAACCATATTGTAACTGTTTCCATGAAACTAGGGTCATTTTGAGAGACTAGGCCATTTTGCTGTATCCCAGATTCCACTAGGGTCTGCCACAGACTCTAGGTGACCACAGGCCAGACCAGGCACTGTGCTGCCTCAGGGCTACAGCTAAACATGCTTTGGATGACCGACAGCGTGCAGTCACGGCACCAGAATGAGCACTGACCTAGCCAGGCCACAGCACTGGATCAGTCACTGGGCCAGCCTGCCCACTACATTACTCTACTGCCCAGCAAATAAGACATGGAGCCATGCTGCCCACAGGACACTGGGGTACAATGACTCTGCCCACACCTCAGCCACATACCTGTGAGTTGACAGCCTGCCCCATTGGGATTCGGGAACATTCCAGGGCAAACTGTTTGACACAGAAGTAACAGCCCTGAAGGGAGAGTGAAGATGAGATCAGGAGGGTGAGAGGCTGGTGCATCTGACTCTCTCCACTCAGTGCTCCTCCTGCTTACCTGGAACACCAGTTCCATGAGGATGATGCCCCCGGGGAGTGCCCGCTGCAGGTGATAAGTGGTTACTGGAGAGCTCGTGCTCTGAAAAAGGAAAAAGGGGGCAAGGGTTAGGGGCTCACCAGCC